GGGGGGTACAGGGGCCCCTGTAGGGGTTCAGAGCAGCCGGCCCACGGGGGCGGGGTACAGGGCCCCTGTAGGGGTCCAGAGCAGCCGGCCCATGGGCTGGGGCGGGGTACAGGGGCCCCTGTAGGGGTTCAGAGCAGCCGGCCCACGGGGGGGGGTACAGGGGCTCCTGTAGGGGTCCAGAGCAGCCGGCCCTCGGGGGGGGGGGGTACAGGGGCCCCTGTAGGGGTTCAGAGCAGCCGGCCCTCGGGGGGGGGGGTACAGGGCCCCTGTAGGGGTCCAGAGCAGCCGGCCCACGGGCTGGGGCGGGGTACAGGGGCCCCTGTAGGGGTCCAGAGCAGCCGGCCCACGGGGGGGGGGGGGGGGAGCGCGTCTCTGAAGGGAGCGGCGGCCTCTGCCGTGCCCTGACCCCGTGCCCGCAGGGGAGGCGGCCGCCGTGGACGCCGAGGCCGTGTGCCGGCACGTGTTCAGCAGGGTCCCGGCCGAGCACTTCCACAGCCCGATGCTGGCCTTCGAGCTGGTGCGGTTCTGCAGGGACAGCCTGCCCCTGCTCGGCCGCCACCTCGGCCTGCTCCGCCACAGCTTCCCCGGCCTCCTCCAGGCACGTGCGGGCAGGGCGGGTGCCGGGGCGGGCGGGGCGGAGGGGGGGGGGGGGGCTCCAGGTGTCGGGGCCCCTCCGGAGGGGAAGGCCGGGCGGCCGGGTGGGTTTAGCTCGCGTAGAATCTGCCCAGGGCCAGCCCTGTGGGCCCGCTGGCGCCGGTGTTGACACGTGGTACGTGGGCGTTGGTACAAAGAGAATGCAGAAGCAGGGAGTAGTGACAGACTACGGGAGTATTTCCAGATGCCGATCCCAGTGAAGCGAGGACGGGGGTGGGGGGTGTACCCCTGCCCTGCGCAGCGCCCATGACAGCAGTGACGAGGGCACGGCGCTGCCTGCTGAGCTGCCCGCCCCCTCAGCTCCTGGCCTGGAACAGCCCGCCCCTCACGGCCGAGTTCGTGGCGCTCCTGCCCGCGCTGGTGGACCCCAGCACGGCCGTGGAGCTGCTGCACGCGCTGCTGGACCTGCCGTGTCTGACCGCGGCCCTGGACCTGCAGCTCCGGTGAGCCTGCCCCGCCCGTCCGCCGGCCGTCCCTCCACCCCGCCCCGCACAGGCCCCTCCGCTGCCCGCTGCCCTGCCCTGCCCTGCGCCCCTCCCACACACAGTGCCTCTTGCTCCTGGCAGCCCTGCCTCAGGCTCCCCCCTCCACATGCTGGCTCCCCCAGACCTTTCTCGTCACCCCAGGCTCCGCACTGGGCCAGGGTGCTGTGATGTCCTCCCTGGCCAGTGGGTGCCCGTGAGGGTGTGCCCAGAGCCACACCCGATCCCACCTCGGGCGTCTGTCCGTCCCTCAGGTTGTCACCTGCTGCGTCCGAGAGGCCGCTCTGGGACGCCTCCCTCCGGACCGCCAGCTGCCCCGACACCGCCCAGGACCCGCAGCTCCAGGGCCTCCTCCAGCATCTGCTGCGCGCCGAGGCCAGCGGGGCCCCCGAGAGGTAGGGCCAGGCCAGGGGCCCCCAGAGGTAGGGTCCTCGGGCCGGGAGCGCCAGGCCGGCCCGGAGAGCACTGTGTAGCCCTCCCAGTAGGCGGCAGCCACGAGGCCGGGCTGGGCTCTGTTACCACGTGACAGTTCTGCGACCCCGCGTGGTGGGCACTCTGGTGACGCCATTACACAGATGGAGAAACTGAGGCTTAGGGCCCAGGCGGGGAGCCCTAGAGCAGTGCGAGGCCTCTTACCCAGACGCCAGCTTCCCGGGTCCGGGGGCAGGGCTGTCCTGAGTGCAGGTGCCAGGCGGAGCTGGGCACGGGCAGCGTGGTGACGGGTGAGCTCATGGGCTCCCGTGCTCCAGGCTGGCGCCACTCTACCCGCTGCTGCAGCCCATGGCCCGCTGCGCCCGGGTGCTGCAGTGCGCCGAGGCGGTGCCCACCCTGCTGCGGGCCTTCTTCTCGGCGGTGACCCAGGTGAGCCCCTGCCCGCCCCGTCCCCCGCCGAGGCCCCTGCAGCAGGGACCGAGGTCAGCCAGAGGCCCGCCAGCCCCCCAGGCCGACCCTCGCCTGGCCCTCCTGGACGGGGCTGGCGAGCGGCCCCGGCCGGGACCCGGGGACACAGCCGCCTGCCTCTCACTCTCGACCTCAGTTCGCTGACGGGGCCCTGACCAACCAGCTGGCACGGCTGCTCCTGGAGAGAAGCGACTCGCTTTACCCGGTGCCAGGCTACGAGGCCCGCGTGCACCAGTGAGTCCTCCTGCAGCCAGGCTCCACCGCCCGCCCCACCGGCCCCACGTCCCTCCCCCGGCTGCTGCAGCACCCCGGCCCGGCCCGGCCCGGCCCCCAGGCCTCCGGCCTCCCGCCTCCCACCCCGTCTGTCATCCGCGCCGGAGGCCCGGCCCTGCGCTGCACTCGGCACCGGGGACAGAGCTGCCCGGCTCCCGGGGCCGAGAGGTTCTTCAGGGGCCGGGGCTGCTCTATGTCCCCCGCCTCCCGGCCGCCTGGGTGGGTGGGCTGGGCTGCGGCCGCGCGGGCGTCTGAGCCACGGAGCCCTGTGCCCTGCAGGGTGCTGAGCGCCCAGTTCCTGGGCCTGTGCCAGCGGAGGCCCTGCCTGGTGGTGGAGCTGGCGAAGGAGCTGCTGGAGTTGGTGGGCAGCGGGGGCGGCCTGCGCAGCGGCGGGAGCGTGCTCACCTCCGTGGTAAGGCACCGGCGATCCCCCCCCCGCGCGGGGGCCTGGCAGGGGCTGAGCGCTCCCCCCGCAGGTGTGGGCCGTCGGCGAGTACCTGGCGGTGAGCTGGGACCGGCGCTGCACCGTGGACCAGATCAACAAGTTCTTCGAGGCCCTGGAGGCCCTGCTGTTCGAGGTCACCCAGGCCCGCCCCTCAGCCACCCTCCCCCAGTGTCCCCCGCAGCTGGTCACTGCGCTGATGACCACGCTGACCAAGCTGGCCTCCCGCAGCCAAGACCTGATCCCCAGGTACAGGGAGGGGAGGGGAGGGGAGGGAGAAAGGAAGGTGGCTGGGGAGGCGTCCGTGCCAGGGGCCGCACAGCTCAGACCTGGGGTCTGGCCGCGTCCCGGCAGTGGCGTGGACTGCACCGCCACCCCCCTCCCCCGGTGCCTCCGCTGACGGGCCCTCCCACGGCCGTCCCCCGTCCCCCGTCCCCAGGGTCTCTCTGTTCCTGTCCAAGATGAGGACCCTGGCCCAGAGCCCGGCCGCGGGCGCCCTTTGCTGCCGGGAGGACGAGGCCGTTGGCACACGGGCCACCGAGCTGCTGAACCTGCTGAAGATGCCCAGCGCCGCCCAGTTCCTGCTCACGCCCGGCGTGGAGGTGGCCGCGCCCCGCTACCACCGCGACAGCAACACGGCGCTGCCGCTGGCCCTGTGCGCCGTCAGCCGGCTGGTGGAGAGGGAGGCGGGCGTCCTGCCGGCCGAGGGCCAGCCCCCAGGCTGACACCGGCCAGTGGCCGCAGATTCGGACGAGCCTGGGACTCGGGCCACCAGGCCCTCGTGGTCAGGAGGAACCGGGAGGAAGCCCGTGGGCCCCGGCCGGCGGGGGGTGGGCTGCCCCGGTCTCGCCTGCGGGTGTTGGCCCGACCTCTCCCGCGGGACCGTGCTGCCGGCACCAGGCCCGGGGCGGGCCGGAGCTGCGGACGGTCAGCCCCAATAAACCCGCTGGGCAGTCACTGGACAAAACAGGCTGTTGCCTCCGCTCCCCCTGCCCGCCCCGGAGGGCGGGGTACACGCACCCTCCTGCACGGCGCTGCCGCCTGTGGGCGCCTCGTGCTGTGAAGAGCAGCCGGACACTCGCCCTCGGTGCCGTGGGGCGGGCGGCCCGGGCGCACAGCTCATGGACACGCAGCCGGGAGCGCCTTCGGGGCGGGCTGCGGGCTGCGGGCTGTGCGCCTGAGGTGGGCGCACCTGCCGCTGGGAGGGTGGCCCACTTGGCAGGGCGCCCAGGCCGGCTCCCAGGGACGGGCACCTGCCCTGGACCTGCGCCCCGCAAACCCGGGCCCCCAGGAGGCAAGCTGGGCGTGGCGGGCCTGGGAAGCGGCCCAGCCCCGGGGGACACACACACACACACACACACACTCTCCCCTTCAGGTCGGAGGCTCGGCTTGTAGGTCAGCTCTCAGGCCGCGAGGTGGCGCTGCTGCCCCGGCCGGTGGCCTCGGCGCCCAAAGCGGCTGCGGGCCGGGGCGGGAGGCGCAGGTGGGCGCCCCGGTGGCCGCAGCCTCTGGCGCCCCGCGGGGCACCCCCACCGGCTCACTCCGTTAACGGGTTCCTGACCGGCCCGGCGGCGGGGACGGCGCGAGGCCGCCTCAGGCGGGGTCCGGGCTCACACGATCCGAGCCTCCGTGCCCGCCAGGGGGCGGCGTGGAGCAAGGGCTGGGGCTCGCCCGCGGCTCCGTCCCGGCGGGCGGCGGGGGCCTCGTCCCGGGTGTCCGTCCCCGTCCCGGCTGCGGCGCTGCGCGGAGGAAGGCGCGCCCGCGGGGGCGGCGGGGCTGGCTCCGGGCCCCTCCCGGGCGGCTCCCCGCGCGTCCCTGCCGCTCCCGGTTCTGGGCAAAACCACCCGCCCTCGCGGCCCCTCTCCCGGGGCCTCCTGAGCGGCGGCCTCCAGCAGCCCGGACCCGACGCGCCACGCCCCCAACACTGCCTGACCCGACCTCACGCACCACCCTGACCTTACGCACCACGCCGACCCCCCCACACACACCGTCCTGACCCTGACCTCACGCCCCTCACTGACCCCTACGCACCGCCTTAACCAGGACGAACCTCCTTGACCTTACGCACCACGCCGACCCCCCCCACACACACCGCCCTGACCCTGACCACGCACCACGCTGACCCCACGCACCGCTGCTCTCCAAGAATACGAAAGATAGTTTATTGCATCTGTGTCTCCGATAAAGTCTCCGAACATAAAGCTCTGTGGCCGCGGGCCGCCATATAAACACGCGCTCGGCCCGCAGCCCTAGGGAGGGGGCGAGCGGAAGCGGATCTTCTGGGCCGTGTCCGCGTCGCACTTGGCCACCAGGAACCGCATCTTCCGCCCGCCGTGGCGGATCAGGTCCACGGCCCTGGAGCGGAGGGTGACAGCGAGTCGGGAGGTGCGGGGGGGCCGCGAGCCTCCTGGGGCGCGGGGTGCAGGGCCTGGCCCAGCCTGTGCTGCCCACCCCTCCGGGGGCGGCCCTGGCCCCTGTGGCTGGACGTCCCGTCCCTGAAGTGGGTGAGAGCGGCCCCCTCGGGCGCAGGCCCGGCCGTGGCTCCCGCCCTGGGTGCGCTGGTACCTCAGGTAGCCGACGCCCGCCAAGCTGCTGCCGTTCACCTCCAGGATGCGGTCCCCCAGCGACAGCCGGCCGTCCGCGGCCGCGGGGCTGCCCGGGAGCAGCGTCTGGATGTAGAGGCCGGGCGCGCCCAGGGGCGTGTGCTGCGGGAGCAGAGGCCTCAGCTCCGCGGACAGGCAGGGCCGCGGTGGCACCCAGCCCGCCCTCGGGAGGCCCGGCCCGGCCATGGCTGTCTGTGGACAGCACGCCCCGTCCCGGCCCCCGGGCCCAGGCCGGGCCGGAGGACAGGCCACCGCAGGCCCTGCCCTGCCCTGCTCCACGGAGATGCCCGCCAGGCCCAGCAGAGCCCAGGGCCACTCACCATCCCGTCGATCAGGCCCATCCCCAGCCCCGAGGGGCCTCGCTCCAGCTCCACCTGGAAGACGGAGCAGAAGTCCTCGGCGCTGGAGCTGCGGCTGGAGGGGGCCGGCGGGGGCTCATCCTCCGGGGCCACACCGTCTCCTGCGGGACAGGCAACGGGGCAGGTGAGGCCTGCGGGGCTGAGTCCTGGCTGCGGTGCCGTGGGCAGGAACTGAACAGCCAGGACGCGCTGACCACGGGGACGGGGGGGGGGGGGGGGAGGCAGAGCCCTGTGGGCACAGCAGAGCCGGTGCCACGGTCTCACCTTCCGGCGTCGCCCCCTGGGGGCCGCACAGTCCAGGCCTCTCTTCTGAGTGCGCCTTCCCACGGGGGCCGCCGGGGTGGTGCCATTCAGGGCCAGGGGGCTCGAGTGGGGTGCCGGGCGGCGTGAGCAGGCAGGAGGAGTCTGTGTGCGGGGGCCCAGCCTGGGGGCCCCCGTGGTTCCTGTGGCCCCGCGGCCTTCCTGGAGGACCCGGTGTGCCCAGAGTCCCGGCCGAGGGAGGAGGGTGTGCTGGGCCCGCCACGGGGCAGCTCTGGCCCTCGGGGTGCCCCTCAGGGGTGGGGGGGTGCTGGCCCTGGAGGAGAAAGACAGTTCAGGCACCAGCTCCTGTCTGGAGGGAAAACCAAGAGACCAGCTCTCCCTCCCACTTCATGCCCCGTGTCCACCCCACTGGCAGCTGGTGGTACCTCGAGGCCCTGGGGCTGGGGCTTGTTCCGCAGGCCCCACAGGAAGTGGCGCACGTGGAGAAGGTGCTGGTAGATGCTGTCGTCCGGGCAGTCCGCCTCCAGGTCCACCCAGAAGCCCTCGCTGGGCAGGACGATGGGCGGGGGGTTCTCATAGGACTCCAGCACATCCTCTGGGGGAGAGCACACCGCCTCAGCGCCGCGGGCCACCGCCCCCCGCGTGGGGCCTGGGACAGCGGGGCGGGGGCCGGGCAGGGTGACCACCCAAAATGCACTCTGGTTCCTTCTGGATCCCAGTGACCACCCAGGATGAACAAGGCCCCGCCCCCTGGAGCTTTGGCCACACCCCCAGCCTGCACCCCACCAGCCCCTCTGGGAGCTGAGCATCAGCCTACAAGTCTGCAGCCCTGGCTGACACCTGCTCCTCCCGGCTCCCGGCTCACGCTGACCACAGCCCCCACGGCACCGGGACCGAGACGGCCCCATTGCTCGTTGGTCTGGACTTGAACCTGAGCCCTTTCCAGCAGGAAAGGCTCTGCTCCCACACGGGCCTCGGTCGTGACCCAGAAACAAGACACACGCATCCCATGGAGCCGGGGCCCTGCCTCCACGCCCACCCGAGGGAAGCGGGGCACGTGTCCCACTGTGTCGTGTCCTCACATCCTTCCTTCCGTCCTTGTTATGACACAGGTGATGCTAATGGAGAGTGCATGTCTGTCTACAGTGGCTAGTCTATAAAAACACACATAGGTGCGTCCGTATGTGCGCTGTGTGTGAACATGTGTGATCGGGAGCGTTCCACGGTGGTGTGGCGGTGCCCAGCATGGGGTGCTCTCTTCCTGGTGGGCCGGGCACTGGGTGAGGGCAGGGGGCACCCTGGCCTGAGCTTGGAGTTTACAACTGGGCCATGGGCTGTGGGCTCCTTGACCCCCCCTGCTGTGGAGGTCCCCAGGTGGGGTCAGCTGGGGGAGCTCCCCCAGGGGCCCCGGGAGGCCCCGCCCCCAGCGGTCCTGACAAGGAGGGGCTCACCTGCGTTGAAGGCCTCGGGGCGGTCCTGGGCGCCCGGCTCCCAGACGCTCATGGGGCCCGTGGCCGAGGCCAGCTGGTACTGGGTGAGGAGCCGGTGCAGCTGCGCGGGGCTCAGGGCAGGGAACGCGGCCTGCAGGCTTGCCCAGCTCATCTAAGGCACAAGGAGGCAGGCGCTCGAGGTCAGGGCCCGATGGCACCGGCAGGACCCGCCCCGGGGACGTCTGACTCTGCATCCTCGGAAGCACCGGGAAGGGGTGTCCCCAGCAGCACGCAGGCCTCCGGCCATGTGCATGGCCAGTCCGCCCGGGCTCTCTCGCAGGCAGGGCCGCTGGGTGTGTCTTCCTCCCCGAGCTGGCGGGTTCCCGCCCACGGTGCCGGCTCCACCAGCGGGAACCCCAGGGGCCGGTGAGAGGCTGGTGGGCCGGCCTCACCTGTTTGCTCCCAGCCAGTTCTCCCTCTGCCTGGGCTCCTGCTGTGAGCACGTTGGGCCTTTCCTTTGCCTTCCTGCCTTGCTTGCTCTCTCGCTCGGTTTACCGCCAACATCAAGAGGCCCAGGCTGTGGCCATGCAGTGTCCACACTGTCCTCTGCCGACACCCAGGCCACACCAGCTCGGCAGCAGTTGGCCGAGGTGATTCTTGCTGGCTTCCCAGCTCCTGGGATCCCCGCCGCCCTGAGGGCTTCTCTGCTGCGGCACCGAGCACCCCACTTCCAGCTCCCAGCTCTGCTTCCCAGTGACTCCCCAACTTTCTCTTCCGCTCTGCTGCTGAGACTCCGCTTCCCACGGATCCTTCCTTCTCTTTCTGAGCCCTATCCGTTAGCTGCGCTGCCCGCTCCTGGTGAGGACGAGGGCTTTTCGAAGACATTCTTTCCCCTGAACAGTCCGGCCAATGGGGCCCGAGACTGCCGTGCACAGCCCTCCGCTGCGAGTGGTTCCCACGTTTCTGAAGGCTTAAAAGATAATAACCCGGGCCTTCGGTGTCTGTGGCCGCAGAGCCTGGACCTGTGCCACCTGCCAGCCGACCCATCTCCGGCCTCACGCCCACCTCTGCCTCCGCCCTCCTGCTGTGGCACGGCTGCTGGCACCTGCCTTGCCACCAGGCCCACTCGGATCAGCCATATCTGCAGCCTCTGCTGCAGAGCCGGCACCTCCCGCTCGGAGGACGCTGAGCCATGGGGGCCCGTGTGGGGCCCCAGCACTCATGGGCACTCACTCTAGGAAGGCCTTGTCAGGAGAGACCCTGGTCCCGAGCAGGAGGCCCCTGGTTTTAAAGGGCCCACGGGTGAACAGTCTCTGCCAGAGGGTGCCAGCACCAGGTGTGGGAAGGGGTTGAGGGGGGCGGAAAGCTGGCACCCCTGCCGCCTCTCTGTGCATTCTGTGCCGAAGGACAACACGCCCTGGGACGATGCCCATGCCGAGCACAGCTCAGCGGCTGCTCACCAGGGGCACAGCAGGCGGCCAGGCCAGGAGGGGCACTGTGCACACTGCACACCCAGCGGCTGCTCACTGGGGGCACAGCGGGCAGCCAGGCCAGGAGGGGCACTGAGCACACTGCACACCCAGCGCCTGCCGGGTGTCCGCTGTCTCCAGGACAGGCTCCGTCCCAAGGTCTTGAGCCCTGCACCGTGGGAACCAGAATGTGCCTCTGGGCTCTGTTCTCCCTTTGTCGGCCCTGCAGTGGGCAGGCTGTCTGCAGAGACGCCCCTGCTCGGGGCAGTGACCTGCACACCGCTCTCCCTCTCACCCTGCGCATGGCTTTCTGTTTTTTACTCTTACAAGTTTGCTGCTGTTTCACTGATTTTAGCGCTCTGTGATTCCCTTCTACTTGCTCTGCGTTTGACTTGTTTCTCTTGCTTCCTGGTTATCACCCAGCCTTCCCTGTTTTCTGACATGGATCCTTAAGGCTATTGTTTTGCCTGTTGGCACGGCTTTAACTGCACCCACCAGTTTGGTATATGCATCTTCATTGTGATCACCTGATCCAGTGGAGGTCAAACTACCACCAGATCCACGTGGCTTTCCAGAGTTTCTACTGTTTAAAGCCCTTCCCACCCCACCCCCTGGAGCTTCACAACTTTGTCAGATGTCCTGGGGGGAAAGCACTGATCCTTTCAGGCTCTTCTCCCAGGCTGTAGACGGCCAGGCTGCTCTGATCTTCTCCCCAGCTCTGGCCCCATCTGGACGAAGCCTAGATTTCTTATCTCACACAGACCCTGATCCCTGCTGAGGCCAATGCCCTGGAAAGCACCAGCAGAACAGCTTGTGCTTCTCCCTGTGGAAACGCTACTCCTCAGTCCAGGTGGCTCCGGGTTTCCTGGGCCTTTAAACAGAGGCTGTGTATGGCATGCCGGCCGCGCTCCACAGGCGCAGCTGTGCCCTCTCACAGCCGGGGGCAGTGCCTCTGGAGGCTTCTCCGTCTGGATCTCTGGGAAGAAGTGGATTGCTCCATTTTCACACCAAACTGAAGTCCCCGCTGTCCCCACACGCACATCGTGCTGTGCTGGCTGTGCTGACGCAGCTCAGGGCTCGGCCTGGAGATGGCAAGTAGCCCAGCGCCTCGTGGTTTACACATTCCCCCAGGCGGCCCTGTGCACGAGCTCACAGTCACTCCGGGGCCCGCTGGGTGCTGCCAGGCCGGCAGGGAGCACCACTGCCTGGCTTCGTGACACTAGTGTCGGCAGCTGGTGCAGGAGGAGGGGGAGGGGTGTGACAGTGGCCACTCCGTCGCAGTCAGAGCCACAGGAACACACACTTACACTTTGGGGGTCACTCTGGCTCACGTCCAGGCCGCCAGGGCTGCGTTCCTCCCGGAGGCCCAGGGAGGCGGTCAGAAAGCAGAGCCTGGGCACGTCCCTTCCAGCTCTGGGAGGCGCTGCAGCCCTCAGCCGGGCCCTGCCTCCACCTCCAAGGCCAGCATCCAGGGCCAGTCCATTTCCCTCTGTCCTGTCTCTCCGATCCGACATGGCTACCCAGGCACTCTCCCTCTCGGGTCCTTAGCGGCAGCCCCCTCTGCAGAGCCCAGGCCGTGTGGGTCACTAGTCAGGTGCAGGTCAGGGTCCCGACCCTGCAGACCCGCCCACAGACATGTGGGGCCGTTGTCGTGCTCACAGGGCGGCTGTGGGGCAGGAACAGCTCTGCCAGTTCTCAGGCCCAGAGGCCAGGCCCCCCACCCCCCCCCCCTGGCCACTTGGTTCTCAGGCTGGTGACTCAGTGACAGCACACGGCACCACCTCCCTTCCCCCATTCCCCCCCGCTGGTCCATGGGCTGGCGACTCAGTGACAGCACATGGCTGTGCCCACCCACCCACTGACTCGCTGCCTCTCGCTCTCTCCTCGCCCCTACCTGGATGAGCTGGGCGCGGGGTGTGGCCAGCAGGTTGAGGGTGCAGGAGAGCTTCCGGAAGAAGTGCTCCCCGGCTTCCCCGAAGCCCGCGGCCCGGGTCCAGTCCAGGAGCTGCTGCAGGCGGGCACAGGCCTGCACACCTCGGGGCCAATGGAAGCAGCTCAGAGAGGGGCCTGGGAGGAAAGCGGGGTGAGGCCCATGCTGCCTGCCCGCCCGAGGGAGCCGGGCCCCATGGTCCCCTGTGCCTGGCTGCCCCCCCCCCCCCGGCCTCAGAGGACAAAGGTGAGACCCACATGGGTTCTGAGGCCCTGCCTACGGTGGCCCTCTGGAAGGGGTGGGTGAGCAGGGAGCGGGGGTGAAGACGAAGGGGGGCTATGACAGTCATTGAGGGGACAGGGTCCACATCTACAGCGAGCCCGCGCTCCCGCCCAACCCCTGAGCCTGGGAAGCCCATGACAGTGACCCCAACTGCTGGGGCTTGTCCCCGTTCGTGTCCCCATGCCCACAGTGCCCTGAGTTTCTGGGAACGTCTGCAGTGAGGACTTGGGGGGCAGGGCGATGGTCACTTCACAGCCTGTTCCCTCCTAGCTCCCAGGGGCAGGGGGCCGCTGGGGGGGGCATGCAGACACTGGCAGAGCGCCCGCCCCAGAGGACAGCTGGGCGGCACCCTGCTCCCAGGGGCAGTGGGCCACTGGGGGGGGGGGCATGCAGACACTGGCAGAGCGCCCGCCCCAGAGGACAGCTGGGCGGCACCCTGCTCCCCGGCCTCTCCCTCGGAACTCCACGCACCGTGCAGACGGGGGTCAGGACGCCTCTCACCCTTGTCCAGGAGCTGGTTGAAGAGCAGCGTGCTGGAGAAGAAGAAGAGGTAGGCCAGCACCTGGGCCACGATCTCGGGGTGCACCTGGGCCTGCCGCAGCAGGTCCAGCGCCGCCTGGTAGATGGACACGACGCGGCGCAGCTCCTCGGGCAGCTGGGGGGCCTGGCACCAGCTCTCCCGCGGCTCCGTCTGGAAAGGGGGGCACTCCAGCAGGGCCGGGAGGCAGACGTACAGGGACTGGGGGAGAAGACACAGCAGCGTTGGCAGGGCCTGGGGTGCAGGCGGAGGGGAGGGGGGGCTTCGGTGTTCCCGGGCTCCCACAAGAGCTGCCGGGGCCTCTGGGGGCTCGGTACCAGCTCCCGTGAAAGGTGCAGTGACGATCCCACAAGGGGCTGCAGAGCCCTGAGCGCCGGGAGGGGGAGGGGAGGGGGTGGGGGAGGAGGAGGGGGAAGAGGAGAGGGAGGGGAAGAAGGGGAGAGGGAGAGAGTGGGGGAGGGGGGGAGGGGGGGAAGGGGAGGGGGAGAGGGTGGGGAAAGGGAGAGAGAGGGGGAGAAGGGGAGAGGGAGAGAGTGGGGGAGGGGGAGAGGGTGGGGAAGGGGAGGGGGGTGGGGACAGTGGGGCAGGCGGGGCGGGCGCACCTTGGAGATGTAGTACACGCACTGCTGGAAGGCATACAAGATCACCTCCTCCAGCTCCGCCATGGCCTCCTCGCTGGCCGAGAGCGCGCAGGAGAACACAGACTCCATGGAGCCTGCAGGACAGGGGCTTAGTTACCACAGGGGCTCCCCTCACAGCGGCCTCCCGGGAGCACAGGCCCTCAGGCACCTGACAACGCGCGGCCACGCTGTCTTGCTGTCCGTGGCCCTTCCCCTGGAGTCTAGGCCTCCTGCCCCTGGCCCACCCATGAGCCGCTGTCCCCGGGGTCTCCCCAGAGCCGGGCCTCCCGGTCTCGTTGGGGACCTGGGGGTCTGGGTGCTCCCTCGGCCTCCCAGGCAGCGCGAGGGCCGGATCCGGGCAGCAGAGGCTCTCGGAGCTGCCGGCCGCCATGCTCGTTCCCCCAGAGGCTCAGGCCTCTCCTCCCGCTGCTGCCCGAGCACGCGCAGACCAGCGTGTTCCAGCCACTGCGGCCAGCGGGGCCGGGAGCCAGCTGCCCACCCGCTGCGGAGGGGCAGGACACCAGCCGCGCCCGCCCTTCCCGTGCACCTGGGCTCCGGCGGGAGGAGGCGGCAGCGGTACCCCGAGCACAACACTCAGCTCCCCACAGATGCCGCTGCCCCTCCCCCCCCCCCCCCCCCCCCCCCCGTCACTCAGACCTGGGCAGCGGGCTCTGCTGGGGCTTCACCCCTCGAGCCCCTGTGAGCTGTTCTGAGGATCCAGGCCGCCGTCCGCCCCCCCCCGTGCTGGTTCCCAGGCCCAGGACGGAGGCCCCCTCTGCGCACCTGAGCCCCCCCCACCCCCAGATCTCCTGGCGCTGGGCAAAGCCACAGACTTCCCGGAGGATGTGAGTGGGCGCCTGCGGGGACGAGGGCTCCGGTGAGCGCTCTGACACGGACTGTGGGAACGAAGGACAGGACGTCCCTGCTCAGAGCCCTTCCCGCAGGCGTTTCCGCCGAGGCCGGGCCGGGCCCTCGCCTGCCCTCGCCCTGTGCCTGACGCGGTTTTTCCTCCGAGCGCTCCAGCACACGGGACGCTGTCCCTTCCGCCAGCCCCGTGTCCCCGGGTGCATGAGGCGACCGCTCCCAGCATCCACCGGGCCACCCGACCAAAACTAACTTCCTCTGAGGCAGGAGCGGCTAAGCAAGCAGGGCCGTCACCCCGCTTCCCAGGAGACCAGCCGACGGCCCCACAGCGCTCCGCCCAGGCCGGCCCAGGCCCAGACTGCAGCTCCACGGGCAGTGTCCCCTGGACACTGAGCTGAGTCACCGCCAGCTGGCTTCCTGGGGAGCAGAGCCGGGGCGCCCGCACAGAGCAGGCCGGGCCCGGCACTCACTGGCCAAGGCCGAGTCCCAGGGAGCCTCCCTCGGCCCACTGCAGCGCCCCACGCTGGTCCGGGGGCTGGGGGCCTCGGGGGACCGGGGGGTTGAGGGAGGTGGCCAGAGGCTTTGTGGGAGGCCAGGCGGGCACAGGGGAGGGCGTCACACCAAAGGGCCAGGAAGTAGCCCGTGGGCCTCAGGGCAGCTCCCCGCGCTGGGAGCTCCGACACCCCTACAGCCCCCACAGTCCCCACCCCCTGGGAGCGGGCAGAGGCAGCAGCCAGTGAGCGGACTTTATCAGCTCTTCCTCTCCGGGGACAGCTGAGCACTCGCAGGCACTGTGCTGTGTCTGGCTGGCCCAATTCACGGGAGCCCCGGCCACCCCGTCCCCCTACCTGGCCCCTCCCAGCCCGAGTGCCCCTCCTGGCTGCAGCCCGGGACCCCGTGCAGGGCCCCTCCGGTTGCGGTGCAGCCGGGACAGGCTGAGGTCCTGACGGCAGGGAAGGGTGAGCCTTGTTTTTGCCAAGGCCGAGAGAGGCTATGGGCGCCCCAGGCCCCGGGGCCCGCTGTCAACCCTGTCCCCTGCAGACGGTCCGGCGCCTGCTCGGCTCCGGCCCGGGCCCGCACAGTCCTCGTCAGACACACACCCTGAAATCCCACGCGGCCTCAGGGCACCCCGCAGCCACCTTCCCCGGAGCCCTCCCAGTCCCCCCCGCCGAGTTCTCAGCACCTCATCCCCGCATCGAGCTCTGAGCTCGACGTGCCCGCACGGCTCTGCGTGCTCCTGCCTTCTCTCTGGAGCTGCCAAGGCCGCGGGCAGGGCCTGTGTCCCCGGACAGGGAGCCTGAGGTCCCCGTGGCCCCCGCTGCTCAGCAGGGCCGCCACGGAGCGGCCAGCCCGGCCCCCGGCACTCTTCACAGTGGTGGGCAGCGGTGCAGACAGACAGAGCCAGTGCTGGGGCGGCAGGACCAGGGAGCCCCACGGGTCTGTGTCCCGGGCCACGGCCACCGCCGCCGCGCGGCCTACCTGAGCCGCCGGGCCCCTGCTCCAGGCCCTGCATGTACACGGGGCCCTGCTGCTGCACGAAGTACAGGAGCTCCACGGCGTTGGCCATCCACAGCAGCACGTGCCGCAGCTCGGGCAGCAGGCCGGCCAGGCAGCCGCCGGCCGCCGTCACGGGCTCCTGGCTGCGGGAGAGATGCGGTCAGCGGGCACCGCCTTCCCGGGGGCGCGCCTTCGGCGGGACACTAGCAACAACTGCGACTGTCAGCGAGCAAGGCTGGGGAATGAGAGGAAGATGCATGCCCGTCTACAGCGCCGGCCATGCCGCCGCCAGCCTCAGCGGAGGAGCCGGTGGCCGCCCTGAGCAGGGACTGGTAAGCCATCTCCCCCCCTGAGGTCGGAGTGTGCGGACGGGTGCGTGCCCCAGAGGGAGGTCTCTGACCGGCCGCAGCGACCGGCTCCTGCAGAACGAGGCCGAGGCATGCCCAGAGGCCGGGCTGGCCTGCTCTGTGGGGTCCCTACTGAGCAGCGGGATGGCCTCGGGGACCTCAGGCTCTCTGTCCCCCACCCCCCTCTTCTGTGCACCAGGGTCTCCTCCTGACATCATTCCACCCTCTGCTCTGTCCACGAGGGGCCTGCGCCTCCTGGGAGGAAGGACTGGCTCCGCGTCTCCGTGTCGCTCTGCGCAGCAGGCACAGCTCACGCCGCCATCCAGGGGCCAGGTCCTCCCCTCTCGGCGCTCCTCACGCTGGGCTGAGGGCATGTGTGTGCGCACGGGCACGGGGTTGTGTCATTAGAAAAGGGTTAACCTGGCTCTTCCGTCGCCTCTCCATTTCACCAGAACCCGAAGGCGCAGGCAGCCCTCCTGAGAGCCAGGCCCCAGGTGTGGCCAGTGGTGCTCAGGGGCCGATTCTAGCGAGGTCAGCATCCAGGGCACAGACGCTATGGGCACAGGCCGGGCAGCATGCAGTGGCCGATGTCACGGCTGTGACCCCAGAGGTGTGGCAACCGAAGAAAAACACAAGCAGGCCGTCTGCTGCTCAGCGAGGCCGGCACCGGGAGGGCCCGCGAACGGGCGGTGTTTGCAGAGCAGTCGGTACAGCTCACTCCGAGTTAAAGGAGCCGCTGCCGCTCACACAGACACCCATCCTCCAGCTCGAAGACAGCGAGGGTCTCAGTGCACGGCTCCCCGAGGACCCACAGACGCCGGAAGGCAGGCACAAAAGGTGCTCACAGGAGCCAGAGCCTGTCAGGGTGGCTGCCATGGAGAGCGGCGGGAAGGTGCCGGCCAGAATGGGGTGGGAGCCTGCACACTGCTGGGGGGGCGTGCCATGGGGGGGCCACTTTGGAAAATGTCCTCACAGATTAGAGCTGCTGGGTGTCTATCCAGACCTCGAGAGGGTGCCCACGGCTCTGCCCGCAGCGACCACGGTGTGCGGTCAGGTGTGGGGTCAGGCGCAGTGCCAGCGATGGGGGGCGGTGCCTGGTGTGCGTGCGACGGGGATGTTGCTCCGCCCTCAGGAGGGAAGGGCCTCCTACAAGACTCTGCAGCAGGTGGGGCCCAAAGACACAGCGCAGGCGAAATGAGCCAATCCCAGCCGACCGGCTCTGCCCGGTTCCACGGTGAGTCTAACCCAGCGGTCGCCAGCCGGTGGCCCGTGAACAACTGGTGGTCCGTGGGGTCCGAAAGGCTGGCGGCCGCTGGTCTAGAGAGCTCAGCCTGAATCAGAGCGGAAAGGGGGTGGGTGGGGGAGACGCGGGGGGGCGGCTCATCAGTGAGCGACGTACCCATCACTGCCCGCAGCCAGAGCTCCGTGCATCACGGCCGTGCCAGCGTGCGCACCCGCACACTGAAAGGGTCCTCACCGCAAAGGTCAGGGCAGCGTTAAGGGGCAGAAAGGCCACTCGGGCGGGGACAGTGTGCCGGCCCATGGCTGGGCCCGGGCCGGCAGGCTGGTCGCACTGGTCCACCTAGGGCCGGCGGCCAGGTGGGAGGGCAGCAGGGAGGTACTTACAGGGGCGCCTGCTTCTCCGCCAGCTCCTTGGTCTTCTCCTGCGATCACAAAGCACAGAGCGTGAGCACCCGGAGCCGGCACGGCCAGGACGTCGGCCTGGAAACACGCCGCTCAGACGCGGCTCTGCACCAAGGCCTGGGGCAGGAACGCGTTTCCCCCGGGATCTCACGCCGCCCGCCCGTCACTGAGTGTGACCTCGCCTTTCCCACCAAGGAGTGCTCCGCCGCCAGCTCCCTGGCCTCCGGCCGGGTCAGGACGTCACACGTGCGGAGGAGACTCTGCTTAACGTCAGCCCCAGCGTCAACGCGGCAGCGGAGGGGCCTGAGGATTCACGCTGTTTGCACATCCCAGCGGGGCCAGCCAGCTCTTCCTGGGAGGCTCAGGGGCACAGCCCAGGGGCCGCCCTGGGGGGTTTCCACGTACAGAAGGGACCGGCTGGTCCTGTTCCCCTCCCCCCCCCGGCCCGCGCCACCACTTTGCCAAAGGGGCCGCAGTGGGGTCGGCAGGAAGCACAGGCACCCAGGCCACACAGGGCTCGGACTCCCGGCACCTTGTTCCCAGGCCGTGGGGGGCCGGGCAGGGCCGGGGAGGACACGGGACCAAAGCTCAGGAAGTGCGGCCACCCCAGACGGTGCAGGGCCACAGCACGCCCGGCTGGAGGTTGGACAGGCCCGAGGTGGGGCTCGGAGCGTCCCCCTGCAGCCACAGCCCTCGGGGCCCCCAGCTACCGGGCCCAGACTGACCCAGACGGTGTCGCGGATCGCCTTGGCGATCTTGAGCAGAAGCTGGCCGAAGGAGCCGGGCGGGAGGCGGGTGGCGGAGTGCTGCACGCAGAGGCAGAGCAGGAAGGCGGGCGTCAGCTTGTGGTCGGCGCCGCCCGGCTCCACCAGCGTCATGATGCGCTGCAGCAGCGCGTCCTCCACGTCGGGCTCGAACTCCAGGCGCAGCTGCCGCGGCCGCGCGTCCTGGGTGCGGAGCTGGGCGCCGCACACGCGGCAGCTGTGGGGCAGGGCCTGCAGGCGGGCCAGGGCGGGCGCGGGCAGCGGCTGGGCCTGCGCCGGCTCCTTGAACAGCAGCAGGTAGTAGAGGCCCAGCGACAGCAGGTCCCCGTGGCGCAGGACCACGGTGCGGCCCCCCACGGCCACGAAGTTGACGGCCACGGGCGCGCCGGGCAGCGGCTCCAGGACCAGCAGGCCCCCCGGCGGCTCGCGGCCGGAGGCGTGGCGCCGGCGGAGGGTGCAGTGCAGCGGCAGGATGTCGGGCGCCGAGAGGCTGATGCTGGGCTTGCTGGAGGGCGTCCTCTGGCCCACAGTGTGCCGCTCCCGGTTCAGCACGTACACCAGGCTGTCCTGGAAGGCAAGCACCGCGCCTGTCCGCCGGCCCACCCCGGACACCCTTCCTAACGGCTGCTGCCCGCCTGCCCTCACGGCGCCCCCCGTCCGGGAGGAGCTTTCCCAGGGCAGCTGGTGGCCCCAGACCCAGCGAGGGCCTGAGCAGGAGAGGAGAGGCCGGACGCGGGCCCAGCCCCCAGCCGGACCAGCTTTGCAGCCAGTGTGACCGAGCGCTGGCAGCAGCGGGGAGCGTGCTCAGCCGCACAGGCGGGAACAGCTTGGGGGGGGGGGGGCTGCGGGGAGGGGCAGGGGGCAGGGGTGGCGGGCAGGGCCTCTGGGGCAGCTCGGGGTGGCTCACATGCTGCTGGCTGTAGCCCTGCAGGAGCAGCAGGTGGGGCGACTCGTAGAGGGAGTAGCGCATGGCGTCCTGGCCGGGCTCCTGGGCGGCAGGGCCCAGGCTGGTCTCACTGGCCGAGCGGCGGAGCAGGGGTGCAGGGGGGCTCCGGGCGTCCCCCGAGGCCAAGGTTGGGGTGCCCTTGGCGCGACTCCGCTGCAGCCTCCGGGCTTGGGCGTTTATCCCTGAAACAGAAGCCAAACGGGTGAGCAGCCAGAGCCGTGGAGGCCGGGCCCCGGCCCTGACTCCCCGCTCAGGAGCCGCCTCTCCTAACGGGCCGCACGGCATGGCGCTGCCACCTGTCCGGACCCCGCAGGATCCGCCCCCTCGGCCCTCCCACCAGGCCGGGCACCCTCCCCGCCAGAGCCAGGAGCCCCGCTGTCCTGCCCCTGGCACTGCCGGAGCCTGGCGCCCTCCCCTCGGGCACAAGCCCACTGCAGCATCAGCTGCTGGTCACATGCAGGTGTCGCACCGGCCCAGAGCCTGCCCGCCCTCCTGGCCCTCCTCGGGCGTGTGTGTGTGTGTGTGTGCGTGCGTGTGTGTGTGTGTGTGTGCGCGTGCGTGTGTGTGTGTGCCCGTGCGCGCGCGCGCAGGCGTGTGCACTGTGATGAGAGGCTGTTGGTTCCCTGCTTTACAAGGAGAAGCGGTGGGCCAGCTGGTCTCCTAGGACAGCCTGGCTGCTCCTTCCCGAGGCTGCCCCCGTACTGCCCAGTCAGCACACACGTACACGCATGCATGTGTGTGCGCACATACATGTGCACACACACGCCCATGAGACAGCCTTCTCCACCAGGAAGCGGCCGCCGGATCGCTGAACAGCCCCTGAGCCCAGCTCCCACCTGCCCCGTGCCCGCTCCCCACCTGCCCCGTGCCCTCCCGTCCCCTCTCCCATCCCCCCAGGCCTCCGCTACACCGGATGAAGCAAAGGCAGAGGGCGGCCCAGGGCGCCGCCTTACCGGACGGGGGAGCGGAGGAAGCGGAGCCCAGCGCGAGGAGGACCTGCCTCGGAGGAGCCTGCCGCCGCCGCAGCCCAGGAGCAGGAGGCCGCGGTGCGCGCTGCCAGTGGCGCAGCTGCTCCGTCTGCCGCAGAGCCGCCGGCAGCCGCAGGAGGGGCAGCCGGGCAGGAGGGGCTGGGAGGGGCCAGCGGGGGGGGGGGGGAGAGGGGCAAGGAGGGGCAGCCAGGCAGGAGGGGCCTGCGGGATGGGGGCAAGGAGGGGCCAGGAGGGAGTGCAAAGGGAGCAGGTGGAGGCAGGGGAGCAGGTGGGGGCAGGAGGAGGAGGGGGAGCAGGGGGAGAAGGTGGGGGAGGGGGGGAGGGGGAGCAGGGGGAGAAGGTGGGGGGAGGGGGGGAGGGGGAGCAGGTAGGGGGGAAGGGGGAGGGGGAGCAGGGGGAGGAGGTAGGGGCAGGAGGAGGAGGGGGAGCAGGTGGGGGCAGGAGGGGGAGGAGGGGGAGCAGGTAGGGGCAGGAGGAGGAGGGGGAGCAGGGGGAGCAGGTGGGGGAGGGGGAAGAGGGGGAGCAGGGGGAGCAGGTGGGGGCAGGAGGGGGAGGGGGAGCAGGGGGAGCAGGTGGGGGAGGAGGGGGAGCAGGGGGAGGAGGTGGGGGCAGGAGGAGGAGGGGGAGCAGGAGGAGGAGGGGGAGCAGGGGGAGCAGGTGGGGGAGGGGGAAGAGGGGGAGCAGGGGGAGCAGGTGGGGGAGGGGGAAGAGGGGGAGCAGGGGGAGCAGGTGGGGGCAGGAGGAGGAGGGGGAGCAGGTGGGGGCAGGAGGGGGAGGAGGGGGAGCAGGGGGAGGAGGGGGAGCAGGGGGAGCAGGTGGGGGCAGGAGGAGGAGGGGGAGCAGGTGGAGCAGGAGGAGCAGTGGGGTAGGGGAGCAGTGAGCACAGAGGGCTTGGGGCCGCGCACAGACCCTGGGCCGCACCGAAGCGAAGCGACATTAAAATCCAGCCACAACGTGCTCCAGCGCCCCAGCCCTTCCCCACGTGGCCTCAGTCACAGCGGGAGGTCCGGGGCCCTACCCAGGGCTCTACTCCTGCAGCTGGGGTCCAGCACCCATGGCGAGCGGCCCGGCCCCACTCAGAACCACCGGAGTCTCAGACGCCGCTCGGTCCAGCCCAGTGTCCTGGTGTCCTGGCCGCCGGGGGCAGGGGGGCGGGAGCCACTCCAGGGGTCTCAGACGTAACCCCTCTGCGTACGCGTTTCGCTCGCGTTATCTTAAACTCCTGTGGTCAGGAGCTTTACATCACCTCTGGCGGGTCGTCCCAGTGTCCGAGGCACCCTTCTCCCCTCTACTGAAGGAATCGGGGTGACGGCCTGGGAGGCCCGAGCTGCGGAGACACACCAGGAGGCATAGCAAGCGGGGCAGCGAGGACCACGGCCTGGCATCCCGCCCCGTCGACTCGTGGCCAGAACGAGCCCTCCGAGCGCCAGGCTCCGGGGCAGGACCCCTCCAGAAGTAGTGGGTGGCACCCGAGTCACGAGACTCTCTGCGCCCCCCTCTAACACCCCCCCTTGTCTCCCCACAGGAAGTTGCGCAGACGCCCTTGCTGCTGGGGAGAGGCCTCTGCACCCTCCGGAAGCAGCCGCTGCTGGGGGACAGCGCTGGGAAGAGAAGCAGCTTCCCAGGAGCTCAGGCCGGGAGTCCACCTGCAGGGCCACCGCCACTGCCACCGCCGGGCCTGCCTGCCCACTGCCCCTGCTGCTCCCCCACTCCGGACGGAGGCCTCAGGCCTGGCTCTCTTCCAGAGCACGCGAGGCAGGCTCACACCCCTTGGGGGGACCGGGAAACGCAGGGGGCGCCCAATGGCTCCACGGCGGTGTTCTCAGGGCCGGCCGACCCGGCGCACACATCGCTGGTAAGTACCTGCACCCGCGTTCCTGCGCTCAGTCTCAGACACAGAGTGGACACAGGCTCAGAGCGGGGAGAGGAAACACCACGCTCCAAGGCCACAGGACCGAAACACGTTCTTCCTGTCCGACAGCAGAGGGCTGAGTGCCGGGTCACAGCCACCGGAGTGAGGGGGGGGACTCTCAGAAAGTGCCGGAGGGATGTGCACTGGCCGTGGTCCCCCCAAAGTAAAGACAGCCATCCAGATGCTGGCGGCAACGCCAACCTCCTCTATAAAAGGCTAATCTGCAGTGTCCCCTCGGGAGTTTAACGAGGAGAATGGGAGTCAATCACTCGCTATGACGTGCACTGACCACCAGGGGGCGGCACAGAACACGGCCGGTGACCAGCGGTGCTGAGGTAGTGAGGGAGGGAGGAGGCGGGAGGCCCTGGGACCCTCCCCGTGCACCAATTTTGTGCACCGGGCTCCAGGATTAAGATACAAGTCTTTGTGTCCACAGTGTCTCCCTCCTCCCCGGGAACGTGCATGTCAGCTCCGTCCTGCAAAAACCATCAGGAGGAGCCCAGCGTTTCTGGGAAGTGATGTGGGTGAGCATCACTCAGAGAACCTGGAAAACCGTCCGCCAGCGCAGGGACGTGCCGGGCACACGCCTGCATGGGGAGTGCTCATGGTGAGGACGTCAGTGGTGAGGGAACAGGCGTGGGCGGGCGGGTCAGTGATGGAGGAATAAGCAGCACTGAGAGGAGGCCCGGGTGCAGGCACCGCCACACGGGAAGCGTCCTCTCCAGGAGACCTGCTCTCCTTCCTCCTTCTCTCCCGATTCGCATGGCGCCTGGCCACAGTGAGCACTGACCAGGGGAGTCACGTGTGAAGGGTGAGCTCTGATCGTGGGGAATCACGTATGAAGGGTGAGCACTCACCGCAGGAAGTCACATGTGAAGGGTGAGCACTGATCGTGGGGAATCACGTGTGAAGGGTGAGCACTGACCTCGGGGAGTCACGTTTGAAGGGTGAGCACTGACCGAGGGGAGTCATGTGTGAAGGGTGAGCACTGACCAGGGGAGTCACGTGTGAAGGGTGAGCACTGACCAGGGGAGTCACGTGTGAAGGGTGAGCACTGACCAGGGAAGTCACGTGTGAAGGGTGAGCACTGACCAGGGGAGTCACGTGTGAAGGGTGAGCACTGGCCGTGGGGAGTCACGTGTGTGAAGGGTCAGCACTGGCCGTGGGGAGTCACGTGTGTGAAGGGTCAGCACTGGCCACGAGGAGTCACACGTGAAGGGTCAGCGCTGGCCGCGGGGAGTCACACGTGTGAAGGATGAGCACTGACCAAGGGAGTCACGCGTGAAGGGTGAGCACTGACCAGGGGAGTCACATGTGAAGGTGAACACTGGCCGCGGGGAGTCACGTGTGAAGGGTGAGCACTGACCAGGGGAGTCACGTATGAAGGGTGAGCACTGGCCGCGGGGAGTCATGTGTGAAGGGTGTTGGAACACCGTGTCCAGGGCCCCACAGGAGCCCTCACCCTCCTCCTGGGAGGAGCCAGGCACCTAGGAGGAGAGCGGAACCTGAGCAGATAACAGGCTGACGCAGGAGTCAGCGGAACCGGAGCAGATAACGTGCTGAAGCCGTGAGTCAGCGCAGGGACACGGAGCTCCTGGGCCGGGCGGGAAGGGCGGGGCGGCCGAGCAGGGAAGGTCTGCTCCCAGATGCCGCTGAGCCCTCCTCCAGGGACATGGGTGGGGGGCTCCTCCGCACGCCAGCAAGCTCAGGGCAAGGCCGCCCCCACTGCCCGGCGCGCTCCTGGGCCCAGCCGGGAGCCTGAGCCGGAGCCGGGAGCCGGAGCCGGGAGCCGGAGCCGGCCTCGTCCAGGGCCACGGTGGCCACCCGGGGCCACCTGCTCGCTTTCTTCCCTCCCTGCCGGCGGGCTCCCACGCTCACTCCAGGTTGGAAGAGAGCTGTGAGAGCCCTGACAGCAGAGCAGACACACTGGGAGAGGAGGGTCAGAGAGCCGCTCAGGCCGGGAGCTGCTCGGACCGGGAGCCGCAGCGGAGGGCCGGCGGCCGCGGGCAGGGAGGACCAGCTCCGGGGCCGGAGGAAGGAGGCAGGCGAGGTGCCAGTCAGCTCTGCCACTCCCGCCGGAGGGTTCAAAGGCGGAGACGGAGAAAGTGGCCAGCGGGTCCAGTGATCTCAGTAAACACTTAGGGAGACACATGAATAGGATCGTGCGACAACTGATTTTAAAGTGAAAGCTGGGCACAGGGAAAACGCACCTTTCAGAGCGAGGCTGTGGCGCAGAGGGCGAGTGCACGTGCTTAGGGGGTAGGGAGGGGGGCCGGCAGCG